TAATACGGAATGAAGATCGCTATTCATAATAGGAGTAGAGGGTCGCTGTTCATAATAGGAAGAGAGGGTCGCTATTCATAGTAGGGTCACTATTTATAATACGAAATGAGGTTCGCTATTCATAATACGAAATGAGGGTCGCTTTTCGTAATACGTAATGAAGGTCGCTATTCATAATAGGAGTAGAGGTTCGCTGTTCATTATAGGAGTAAGATTCACTGTTCATTATACGAAATGAGGGTCGCTTTTTATAATATAGAGTTAGGGTCTCTTTTCATAATACGGAATGAGGGTCGCTATTCATAATGCGAAATGAGGGTCGCTATTCATAATACAAAATGAGGGTCGCTATTCATAATACGGAACGAGGGTCGCTATTCATAATACGAAATGAGGGCCGCTATTCATTATACGGGATAAGGGTTGCTATTCATAAAAAATGAAAATGAAATAAGCAATAAACAAAATGTTAAAAGGAAAGCGAAATAATTGATAAGGGACACCCCACGGCTGTGGCGGGAGGGGGGCCACATGGCCCCGAATATTTGTAGAAAAACATTTATTGAAAACATATTGAAAACATTTCTGTACAAAAAAAGAAAAAGGCGTGCCCCCCCCCCCCTATCAGTCCAACCATTCGGCCTACTCTCCCTCCAGTATTTCCGTAGTACAAGCATAACCGACAATTCTCGTCCAAGTAGTTCATAGATGGCGTAGCCTGTTTGTGTTTCACGGGGTAGGGAGTGCGGTTGGGGTGAAAATGAAATAAGCAATAAACAAAATGTTAAAAGGAAAGCGAAATAATTGATAATGGACACCCCACGGCTGTGGCGGGAGGGGAGCCACATGGCCCCGAATATTTGTAGAAAAACATTTATTGAAAACATATTGAAAACATTTCTGTACAAATAAAGAAAAAGGCGTGCCCCCCCCCCCTATCAGTCCAACCATTCGGCCTACTCTCCCTCCAGTATTTCCGTAGTACAAGCATAACCGACAATTCTCGTCCAAGTAGTTCATAGATGGCGTAGCCTGTTTGTGTTTCACGGGGTAGGGAGTGCGGTTGGGGTGTAGCCAGTGGCGTACGCAGGATTTTTTCAAGGGGGGGGGGGGGGTTCAAATTTTGAAATCGGGCCGAAAATTTCGCAACGACTCAGCCAGCCGCTGAATAAGCAGGGGGGGGGGGGGGGGGGGGGGGGGTAAGAGGACACTTTTTTTTTTTTTGGTCTCGAAATTTGAAAATTTGACATTTTTCTTCGTTGGGGGGGGGGGTAAGGTCACCTTTTTAGGTCAGCCATGGGCATAATTTTTTTTTTTTTTTTTATAATTAAAAAAAAAAGCCAAAGGGGGGGGTTAGGGGGGTTTACACACATAAAAATACCAAAGGGGGGGTTCAACCCCTCAAAACCCCCCCCCCCCCCCCCCCCCTGTGTACGCGCCTGGGTGTAGCAGTGTTGCCATCAAGGGGTTGATCTATCATGTCCCTTACCTTCAGGAAAGGAAGGAAGCGGCAAAAAGGGGCTGTAGGCAGGAGCGTCGCTAGAGCTTTTTTAGTGGGGCGGGGGGGGGGGGAGTAGAGGCCACCGAGTACCGACAAAAAAAAGCCACCAATTACCGACAAATATATTAATGCCAATGTCCCAATGTGTACAAATTTATTCCTATAAATCCGGGGCCAGGAGCTAAATTATTTTCCAGTTCCCCCCTCCCGCGTAAAGCGCGGAAGCTTTGACGTTTCATTAAAATATTAGCGAAAGAAGACGATTCGTTGTACCGTTCTCGACTCTTAACTCCTGTCTGAATTTAGTTTTTTTTTCTCCCGCGCGAAGCGCGGAAGCTTTGCCGTTTCATTAAGAAGAAGATTCGTTGTACCGACTCGTAATCATTGTCTGAAAAAAAAATTGCCGGCTGACCGACATAATACATCTCACCGACTTCAAACTTCTACATAAATATAGTATACGAGGATCGAGTAAGAATACCGACACAGCGGACCCGACACAGCAACATATTATCTATTCGTATCTTTATTGCTTCCTCGACGTGGCGACTCCACCAAACATACCCCCTTTCTCTTACTCCCACCCTCTTCTCTCAGGCTCTTACCACTATGAACATGACTGACAATGAGAGCGGACAAAATATACAGTTCCTCAGGTAGACAAAGGAACATCCCTTCACTGCTATTATGTAAAAAGGTGAATATGCATGTGACACCTGTTCTACACATTTTTACATAATAGCAGTGAAGGGATGTTCCTTTGTCTACCTGAGGAACTGTATATTTTGTCCGCTCTCATTGTCAGTCATGTTTATAGTGTACCCCCCCCCCCCCTCTCTCTCTCTCTCTCTCTCTCTCTTTCTCTCTTTCATCCCTTGTTTATTTTGTTTCCCTTTTCTCTTTTTTTTCTTTTTTTTTCTTATGCTCCTTTTCTTTCTTTTCTTTCTTTTCTTTCTTTTCCTTTCTTTCCTCTCCTTCCTCTTTTTCTTTTTTTCTCTTTCTTTCTCCTCTTCTCTTTCCTTTCTTTCCTTTCTTTTCCTTTCCTTTTCTTTCCCTTTCCCGCTCCCTTTCCCCTCCCCCTTTTCTCATTTTTCCCGACAGCAGCGCTATTTTACCGACAATATCCTGACAGGTGAGGGGTGTCGCACCCCACACCCCCTTTAGCGACGCCCCTGGCTGTAGAGATGGAATCTTCAATCTGAAGCCTTTTTGTCAAATATCCCTTTCATTTCATTTTAGAAATAAAACTCTAATACATTTCTTGATATTTAAATTGCGCTGCCCCTATTGTGACCTCTTTTTAAAGACCACAACAGAGCCCTCAGATTAGGCAGCAAGTAGCAAAACAACCCGTAACACTGGACACAACATTCAATGGGATTATGCCCATATCATTGAGTTTGAAACGCACTTCTGGTCAAGAATGGTAGAAGAAGCATCTGCATAAAAAGGATGAATCCTTCACTGAATAGGGATTCTTGCTATACACTTTTACCTTTGTGTAAATAATAAAAGGTCCACGGGCGTGGTTGGTAGAAGCTTAAACTACATAAAACTCTCTCCAATTTTGCAGGGGGAGAGCCTTTGTCGGGAGTTAAGTAATACGCTAAGGCTCCGCGGGGGGGCGCGACGTCTCCGCGAGCCTTTGTATTCTATTGTTTTTTAATGAGATCGCCGACCGAAGTTGGTGCGGCTATCTCCTCCTGAACCCTCCCCTCGGGGTACCCGTGCCCGGTGCCATCGTCCGTGGGAGAGTCTACTCTGTGGAATTGGCTATACTCCGCCCGAGGTCCTCCTCCGTGTCGACGTCCAGGGCGAAAACAGACGCGATATGCATAATGCAGGATATGCGTGACGCTCTCTCTTTCTCTCTTTCATCCCCTGTTCCTTTTGTTTCCCTTTTCTCTTTTTTTCTTTATTTTCTTATGCTCCTTTTCTTTCTTTTCTTTCTTTTCTTTCTTTCTTTTCCTTTCTTTCCTCTCCTTCCTCTTTTTCTTTTTTTCTCTTTCTTTCTCCTCTTCTCTTTCCTTTCTTTCCTTTCTTTTCCTTCCTTTTCTTTCCCTTTCCCGCTCCCTTTTCCCCTCCCCTTTTCTCATTTTTTCCCGACAGCAGCGCTATTTTACCGACAATATCCTGACAGGTGGGGGTGTCTCACCTCCACACCCCCCTTTAGTGACGCCCCTGGCTGTAGGGAGTTAGATTATATACAATATTCAAGCTTTTCGTAAATATACAATATTACACCGATTTTTTTTCTTCTCCTCATAAGTAAGGAAGTAAGATTTTCAAGATTTTAAGTCAAATAAGATACGATTTTGCGACCGTAAGGCATTATGCAAACGGTGGCGTCCCCTATATTATGTCTTTTTAAAAGTAGGCCTATATTTTCTTTTTAGCTTTGATAATTATATAAATACATCCCCATAATCTAGCTAATATATTTCCCCCGCTCCAGTGGTGACAAAAAATGGGAAACATAACACACACATCATCCTATCGTAATTTGTCCCCCTTGTGCGAAACCTCCCCCCCCCCCCCTCACCTGATAGTCAAACTTAAGAAAATTGACAAGACCATGTATTTTATAAGGAAACCACCTCAGCCCCCCCCCCCCCCGATAATAAATAGTATGGTCCGCTACCTGAATGTCCGGGGGGGTGCTGTAGGATGTTTCATGATTCAAATGCTATTGATTTAAATTCTCAATTATGTTTATAACATTGGATAACAAATTTCAAAATTATAGTGTAACATAGATTGGCTGACATGACAGTAAGACTATATATATATTGTCTTACTGTCATGTCGCATATCTTTTTTCCCCTATTTATTTGAATAGAAAAAAAGAGAAAGAAAGGAAAAAATATTATATTATACTTTATGATTATCCAACCTCTCCTACGATTCCTACGAATATATTCCTGTTCTCAATGTGTATGATGAATTGACAGGTAGTATGTATATTATGATGTGTTTGTTCTGTAATTATCTATCTTGTTTCATGACAACTTACATCAGCCTTAATTTTCGTTCTATTTGTTCCCTTTATTGTATTTACTTTTTTATTATGGTTTGGTTATTTAAAGTAATTGATTATTTATATTTCGTGTGTGAACCTTTAAGGATGTATATATCGACTCGAATAACTATTTCATGTATTTTTTGTGTTTGCTACTGTTGTAATATGGAATGTTGAGGTAATTATGCCATAATGTATTATAGTGTATTGGTGCATTAGTGTATAAGGAATTGTAGGTGGAGCAGTCTACAATGTAAGCTACCCCCCCCCCCTTCCTCATCAGACAATAGCCTTACTTTCCCGCCTTTTTGGGGGTACCTGTATTGCCCAATGTACTGATACCCTATAGGCATGATTGGGGATCCTATTGTAAGTTTTAGTGGATGAGTGATTTTCTTTTGTTCGGGGTCTGTGCACCAGAGCTGCTATAGCAGGGACAGAGAGACATTGTAGATTGGAGAGAGAGAGAGAAGCACTAATTTTGTGCCTGCTAATGGAGATTGTTATTTACTTCTGGCAGATCACAATTCATGTAAGTTGATTTATACTGTTGGAACTGATGATTATTATATATATATTTTCATATTATTAATGGATGTCACATTTTATGAATTGCTGAAGATAAGATAGTGAAAGTTGAGGATTGTTGAACCATGTTGTATGTACACTGATATAATGACACTTTATGATAAATGTGATTAACTTATTTCATTTGCATTACATGTATCATGCTTTATAAAGTAGATTATTATGCTTGAATTTCTGATAATGATGAAATGATAATTACTCTGACAAATTAAATTAATTTTAAGTTTGTCTTTATATAGATTGAAACATGTTTCTGTTAAACAAAGTCAATTAAAAGAATGACTACCAAAGAGGATTTATATATATATATATATATATTTGAATGTAATTACATTGTGTCATGCAGTTTTCACAAAGTCATTATTGTGAAGTAAGAATTGTTATTTTATTGTTGTTACCTTTAGGGCTGCATGTGGTGAAATCTCCTTATTTGATGAACTACACTTTCTACAATAAGGTGGAAGCTTTGTTTATGATCAGGGGTCGGACGACAGCATATAGCGTTAGTGTTGCTTCGTCGTTATAGTATTGGCCGGTGAGTGGAGTTTGGCTCTATTGTGTATAGATATATATATATGACCTAATATACATGCAATTGTAAACCGATTATTGCACGAAATTATGTAAAATGTACAATATTCTTCTGTCCTATATATGTTCTAATTAATTATGGCAACTATACTGCTACAGACAATTAAAACAGTTAAGCTACCTTTCATGATATTGCACATAATAAGAATTATTATTGAAAATTGAATAATGTATTAATTGATGACTCGTGTTGAGTTGGAAACTATTGCAATGTTTACACTTTAATTTGTTCTTTTAATGGAAGAAAGCAAATGAAACCATGAATTGTTTGTTATTACATTTTGCTCCAGAGGCTATATGCTAATTATATTTCGTTCAAATTTTGTTCTTGTACAGGGGCTGTGTTTTCTTTGGTGAATAAATGCAAGACTAAAGTTTACGTTGGACTCCCTAGCTGTTGTCATTTCTGAATCTCAACACTATGAATTTACCATGTCTCGAATTAATTAATGTTTATTTTTATTAAACCTGCATTCATATCGATGTTTACATTCCGTATTTTCCTGTGTTTGTTCTGTATTTATCATTATATCCGGCCCCCTTGTTGCCACGAGGGCTAGTGTTGCACTAACAAGACCTTATCAGGCATCCTTACCCATCACCATCACCCTCATCCCAACAATAAAAGACAATAAATGTTTGATTCATATTCGGATTGCATTACCTCTTTGTACGATACATGACGCGAAAACCGTCAAGGTCTGAAAGTGTTTAAGCCCCAAGCCCCCCCCCCCCCCCCCCCCCACGTCTCACCCCTCTCCGGAAAGTAAGTAGGCTCGTGGTCCGGCCCAACCCCGCTAGGTCCATAAGTCCTACTAAAAGCTACTTTCTACAAAAACATAATTGTCGTATACACAATGACAATTTCTGAAATAGCAAACTCAGTCCTTAAATAACTATGAAATGGGCCTGCTTGGTCTACTTAATGTCGCATTGGCAAAGCCTGGATAAGATCAGTCGGGGGCACACTGGTGGGGCAAACTTTCCAACAAGGAAGTCAAATTACGTTAAAAACAAGACAAATATTCAGGGCCATGTGTCGCCAATATTTCCCTTTGTTATGAGCATTTTGGATACATCCAACATAAAGAAGTTTCAGCGAAGCGTTCAGCGTTCCATGTAACAGTAAGACGCTTAACGAGATGGATTAGTTGCTACTTCCACTTTCTATGCAAATAAAATTCCAGGTACAATACACGCGATAATAATGTCTCCCCAACTAACCATCGACTTTTACGATTTCTGCCGGACGCCAAGACGCCAAGAAGGTCACTCTCTGGGTATGCCATATGGGGCAAA